TTGGTTCTCATTGCTAGGCTAGTAAACAAATCCATACACCTGTATGCCCTGCTGGTCAGCCCGCCATCGTACCTATATTGGAAAATCACTTTCTCAGAAGACTAGCAATCATTGCAAAACAAACAATTCCAAGCATTTTCCATTTAACTTAGGTGCGGTAAATAGGGTGACCGCTGCAAAAAATTATGATTTCCCTTTCTTTATTGCGAAAATGTTTTTAGATGAACGTAGCTTCTTTCAAAAATCGACAAACACGTCCGTTAGACCCATCAAACTAAGGTTTTTCGCCGAACAAACCCACCAATTTCCAGTCCCCCTTGCTAGGCATACAAAGTTCCAGTGGAGATTCTTACCGTTGTGCATATATTGGGGTCCTCTTTTAATTTCTGAGTACAAGCATTTAGTTCCATTCGGTTAAGTATCGTGACAATAACAAGCTAACCTCGCAACGGACTTTCTGTGCCGGCTTCAACTGTCAACCATTTCTTTTAATTATATTCCCAAAATATTGTCTACAAAGTTTTGGATCCGCTAAGTTCTAAATTTTTGCATTTTCTGTAGTTGAATGTGCCACTGATTGGCTCATTCTTTCTATCCTTTTAATACTTCAAGAGGTTCTAAATCCAGTTTTATTAACTTTGCCATGTACACAAGTATAATGGCCTTTCACGTGATGCTATTGTTACAAGCTTGGGGTTTAATATATTAAAATTCAATGCATACTCGAAATTTTTCTAAAAGAAAAAAAACTAACAAGAAAGTAAAAAATATTGAAGAAATTTTTTCAATTTTTTTATGTTTTAACCAACTTCTAAAAAAGGAGGAAGTAATTATCGGAACTCTTTTTATACACAAACCTGTATTACCGGATAGCTTTGGACCACGTGAACCTTTTTTATCCGAAAAGTTCCGACCATTGGATCGTGAAGAAACCAACGGTACTCATAAATCTTTATATGAGCATTGATTGAAGCCGATTTTTTTTTTTCTTAAAAATTAATTGCTGGTAGAAAGTTTAAACTTATTTTTAGTTCATTTCCACCAAGCCCTAACTGCAGTTTATGCCTATAGGAAACAGGAGATTGCAGCTCGAAGGCGGCAATTGCTCATAATAAGTTCCTGGAACTTATCTGAGCTCTTAACTGCAGTTAAGCTGTTGGGGGACTATTAGATGCTTGAGGTTTTAGTTGTAGTTTTAACTATATTTTTTATAAAAATTAGGTGAAACAAATCAATATGAAACCATCGTGAATAATAGATACAAAAAAAAACAAATGAGAGCACACTTTTGCTGCTGGGTGTATGTACATACGGTCAGCGTCAAAAATATGCATACCCTGGCATTTCGACGATATTATTTATTTATATTTTCCACACCAAATCTTTCTTTTTTATAAAAATATCGACAATCAGGAGGCGAAGTCAATAAGGTGGTGTTGGGGTGACACACAGTGGTCGGATAAGCCATGTTTTACGCGAAAAAGGCATATTTTAAAACTATGATAAATTAACCGGAATAAAGCTACTTATTCAGAAATGTCCAACGAACTAAAAACTGATTAGTATTTTCAATAACATCTGCTGAGCAAGCCGTTGAATCCGTTTAATTCAACGAATTCCCATCGTGGCACGTTCTAACGGTCATGAATTGATAGCTTTCTTAACAATATTTTAAGGAAACTTTCACTTAAAACGCTAATTGCTGGTTTGATATTACTTCTTAAACATGGAAAATGATGATTTCCTATGAAATATTACATAATAAAACTTGGTTGCTTAATTATCAACACCTTAATGCTTATTTAACAAAGCTGAAGTAAATTTTCAAAAATCCAATAACGAATCCAATATGGCGTCCAAGAATTTAAAATATTACTGAATGTTCATGAAACTTAGAGATTCTTAGGTTCGCTCACTACAAATTTCAAACTAGTTTTTGAGAATTCAAAATGCAAAGTCCAATATGTCGTCCGAAATTTCCAATAATTCAAACCTGAGCAACTTTATTTAAAAATGAGAAAACTGAAGTTTTGGAAGCGACGAATTTCGTATAAAATAAAAAAATCTTAAAAAAACTATTGGGGCCTAGATCAAATTGTTTTGGCTGAACCAAAGAACGTAGATAATAAGGGGCAACTCGTTATAATTGCAGCGAGTGTGAGTAACAGCGGCGTGCCTTTACGCCCTAGTACGTTTTTTGGTTGGATGAAAAGAGAAGGCACGCCCCTGTTACTCACTTTCGCTACAATTAAAACGATTTGTCCTTTCTTATTATCTACGTTCTTTGGCTGAACATATAGCAGACGGCCCCAACTTTCCCTACTTTATATGTAAATATAATTACAGTTATTATTTCATAATTTGATCATAAATTCATTTTAGATATGTTCCCTCGTATATAATAAATAAAATTTTGCTAAACAATTATATTGTGCTACTCAACTGAAAATGACAGTTGATTTAACAGTTGTCAACCAACAAAATTTGAATGTGATACAGAACTCGAAATCAGTGAGCCTTAAAAGATAACACGTTTAATTCATGGGAAATTTTCATCATTTCTTAAGAAATAATCAGCCCTGACAGGAATTGAAAACCCTTATCAGTAGCATCGTAAAAACTACTTGCTTATTTATAGAAAAATTAACAGTTTATTTGACATCTGTCAACTCTCAAAGTTTTAATTTGGGATAAAATTCGTGATCAGAGGGTCAATTCTCGTTCTGCGTTATTGCGAAGTGATAAAAATAACACTTTTACATCGCATTTTTTCGGTGTTCATTTTATACTTTTCACTTCACTTCACGATAACGCAGAATGGGAACTGACCCTTAGCACGTCTAAAAACCTAATCAGTGACATTTTTGAAAAGATTGTCTTTTTTTTTTAGAAAAATACATGGATCATTTGACAGCTGTCAACTGTCAAGATTTTAATTTGACATAAAATTCGTAATCAGCCTATCAAAAAACGTAATCAGTGGTATTTTCAAAAAGATTTTCTTAATTTTAGAGAAATTTGCAGTTCATTTGACAGCTGTCAACTGTCAAAATGTCAATTTTATGGCGACCACTGTGCGTCAACTGAATTTTTCGCCGTCGAAATCATAACGTCAAAATAATGTGTTTGTTGTAATTCATACTGTCATTGTGAGATGCATATTTCAGAATTTATAGCAATTTGCATGAAAAGTCGAAAACTAATTAATTTAGAATTGAATTTTTGCTTAAAAAACCAACAGTATTAGTTAAAACTACTCATAAGGAGGCCAAAGAAATCAGAAAAATTTATGTGATTTCAAAGTTAACGCTGCACACGCGGTACCGCTAAGAAAATGATAGAATTTATTATCTGAAAAAATTTACCTGATGGAATTTGTTTTGTTATTTTCTTTGATAGTGTAGTACCTAACACCTACCCAAATCGCTAATTAGTTTTTTGAGGGGAAAACAACACAGGTCTGTGTAATGAGAGACCAGATGACCTGAAGTTTTAACGGTTTTCACCAAAAAAAATATAAAAAATTATTAATTTAAAACTAAATTTTGATTAGAAAACCGGCTGAGATTTCCAATATTTCCTGTTTCAGGCAAAGTAACGCGATTTTTTTTTAAATTAAATTCGCAGGGGGTGTTGAAGTGCTCATTGACCGACATCTTCAACAATTTGTGTAGAAATGCAAACAGTTTTAAAGTAATTTGTTGTTAAAATTTCCCCATTACCTCACATATTTTTTATATAAACACTGCACTAATCACTTTTCTTTTCATTATTATATCATCTTTTCTTCATAAACAAATGAATGCACATCTTTTTTTTACTAAATATTTTACAATTAATGAATATAAAAGTGTTCTTTAAATAAGTTTCTATTGTAAACACACAATTGTTGAGCGATGGCCGCGAAGTATCTAGTGCCAGATCGTTGAAAATGTAAATACATATGTAGATGTCTTTACCCAAAAATACTTTGTGAGGCATTACGAAATATAAAGTATATAAAATATATATACTTATTAAAAATTTTCGCCTGCGAAGCTTATTAAAAAAAGTTCAATATTTCGATAAATATTGAAAATTTGTATATACATATATATTTAAGTATGTACGTTAAGCGATTTCCATAATTCTTTTTTTTAAAGGAAAGGTGTTACCTCACAGGTGGTTATACTAATTTGGTTTAAATCCGATCATTGGATCATGAAGAAATTGACGACAAGCTTAAATTTTTAAAAAAGAATGGAGGTGCATTCAAAAAATAAAAGCTTCGATATATTGTAAATTTTCGCAATTCGTTTGTTTTTCGACATTTTTATGGAATGTCTGCCACACATTCCATAAAAATGTCGAAAAACAAACAGAAAACGGAAACAATGAGAACCGAAGTGTCAGTTCAATCGCTCTACAAAGGAAAAAGTGAGGTTGAATTCGACTTTTTTTCAACTTTAACTACTAATTACTTAAAAACTATAAGCCTCCGGAGGGGGGACCGTCAGATTTAGAATCAGGGGGATCCCCTCTACACCCCCTCATCAACCTTTTTTTCAAAGCCTGGTGCATTATTGGAAAATTTTCCCAGAAAACCCAACAGTACTAGTTAAAAATACACCTAAAAAGACTTACTAACTCAGAAAATGTAGTTTCAAAGTTATCGCTTATAATAACTGGGTGGTAACACTATGGAAAATAAAAAAAGTAATTTTCTCGGAAAATTTACGTGATGTAATTTATTTATAACTTTTTTTTGTAGCTTACTTTATAAAACCTAGCCAAATTTCTCTTTGGGTTTTTTAAGGGGTAAACCACCGAAATCCTGTATGATATTTAAGAAATAAATGCTTTAATGAATTTCCAAAAAAATTGTTTACATAATTGCAGAATTTTTTAAAAAGTTGTAAGCTCTTAAAATAAATTTTTTTCAATTTTCTTAGGACATTTTCTGGAGAAAGTTTTTCAAAATATTTAAATGAGCCAAAAAATTTTACTTAAAAGTCATAAAATATGCACATAAAATGTTACGATTCGCCCCGAGTCGTAAACCCGATTTATTTTGTATGGCCGTGAACTGTATGTACACTAATACAATGGAAGATAATGACAAACTTTACATACTATTTAACAATTCGTGTTGGACCAGTAGAAGTGGTATGTAATTATGACAAGTTACTAGTTATAATATCGATAAACATCTTAAACGTACACACAAAGTATATCATTTCTAAACAGTATTGCCAATTTAGTTTTCATATTAATATAGTAAATGGTGGTTATAGATTTAATTAAATGCATGTTTTAAGTGCTATCATCTACACAAATTTTCGCACATTAAAACTTCTATTTATGAACTTCTTAGTCATATTCATAGGTATATGATTTTTGTGTGCACAAGGAATCTCACGTTTACTACTCACGAATAAGTACAACTAAAATATTAATGTAACATTAAAAGGCAAATGATTTTTTTGTGTTCATTCAAATGGTTACAACTAAAAACAAAGTACATGTTGGTTAATTTATTCATACCATTAAATCATGCTCAACGCATCGAATTGATATGCTTTCCGAAACCTTGAACTAATCATTTGCATTAAAAAATAATACACAAAATCATCACACACAAAAATCTAAAAAAATGGAAGAACTACCATTACTAATTCTTGATACTCCAACATGCACTGCTCATCTAAGACTTGAAATTAAAAAAAAAATAATAGCACCACAATTAGTTTAATATACCAATTTTGCACATTTTTATTCAGACATTCTGCATGGGATTAACAAATTCTACAACTTATACAGAATTATGCACATAATTAAAGATTTACATAACTATTAAAATTAAACTAGATAACATTGAATTATTGCTTTTTCTGCGAAATAAAGAGTAAATTTTGCTATCGAGCGAAAATGAAATGTCTATAGACAACACGTACGATAAAGTTTGTTCGTAAATGCAGTATTATAACCGAATAAACAAAACATATTGCTGTAGCTATTCGACTAAAAACTTTTCCGTAAATGCAAACAAAATTTTTTAAATACTTATACTGCGCTGCCATAGGGTGCCTTCAGAAATGCATCAAGCCAAAGCATCAGTCTCTTTTACTTCTAAACTACAACTAATGGAAATACCTTATTTACGCAATTACGTTCCAATTGGGCATTTAACCGTGGTTGGGCATATTGGACATTTCCATCAATTATAGTTTAGAAATAAAAGCGTCTGATGCTTTGGCTTGATGCATTTCTGAACACACCCATGTCGTAAGAAGCTGAATCCAAAATGGATAAGCATGGGCCTGTTCGAGGCACGTAATAAAAGCGGCACTGAGGAAAATTTAGAACACTGTTGCAACTCCCCAACTGATTAAAAGTTGGTAGAAATTCACAACGAACTTTATTTAATGGTTTGCGCAACACTGAGGTTGTAAAACGGGCATAATCGATTGAGGACAGAATACGACCCGTGTTCAGTGTCTTTTATTTTTAAATTATAAATTATGGGGACATCCATATGCGCAGCGATGGTTAAATGCCGAATAAATGCAAATAAGGCATTTCCATCAATTATAGTTTACAAATAAGAGACTGATGCTTTGGCTTGAGGCAGAGTGCGTTCGATCTAAGTAATAATGGGCGTGTTCAGAAATGCATCAAGCCAAATCATCACGACTCTTTTTACTAAACTATAATTGATGGAAATGTCCAATATGCGCAACCACGCTTAAATACCTAATTGGAACTTAGTTGCATAAATACGGTATTTCCATCAATAGTTCAGAAGTAAAATAGACTGATGCTTTGGCCAGATGCATTTCTGAACACACCCAATTACTGCAATACTGCATCCATGTTGCTTTCTTGATGCTCTTCCGTAAAAAGTAACGTTGCCGCATTAACTGCAGCACGAATACACCGGCATTTCTGAACACAGGCACGCTTTCGTTTTATGCGATTGTGAGTCTACCTAACCAAAACAGCCCTGATTTATAAGGGACCAAGGATTTTCGCTTGATCATACAAATATATACTGCAATTACGATCTTATCCGGCCGTTACGCCTAAATTCAATTTCTAGGAAATTATAAAAAATTTCTTATTCAAAACAAAATATATATATGCAAATATAGGTAAGTTGTAAATTTTTATTAGAATGCGTAACACTTACATAATTTCGATCTAAAACTACTTTTATTAATAAAAAAATTGCTATTTTCATACATTCTTAAATATTTGCTTTAGGGGGCGTTCAGAAATCACGTGATCATTTTTTTTACATTTTCAACCCTTTTATGGTTGGACAAAAGAAGTCGTAGGCCATTTTATTTATATCAAAATTTAAATGTTTCGATCCCAACGATAGTCTTAAAAGTAAAGGCGCGAAATGTTTTCCATCATGCGCGTTAGGTTTTGGGACAATTAGACCACTAGGTGTTTGCAGAAGAGGGTATGGAGGAGGTAAAAAACGGTGATGTAAAATTTGAAGTAGGGAGCTCCGCATTTGTCCACAGCAATCGATATTAGTGCATTTAACTATTTGAAGCATATACTGACTTTCTCGAACGTGTGTGCTGTACCACTTAGTACATGGTAATACCGGAACAAAATTTTCAGCTCTAGCATCTGTTTCAATGTACTCTGCAAATACTTCGTAGCTGTCGATGACCATACCACTCCATATTTCAGCTAACACCTCACCAGCTTTACGAAAATTTATCTTCTCTAATGTTGGATCAACAGTTTTCCCATTTCCATCTAGATGGTTGCCGAAAGAATCGTGAGGTAGTATTACCCCCGCCAATTCCCGACTTAATGGAGCCATTCTGCGTTCAACCCTATTAAAGGCGCTTCTACCAGGTGCGTTTGTGAATATAAAAATAGCGTCGAGGTCATGTTTTTGAAAGTGATGAATTGCATGTGCAACCACCTTGGGGTATCTAGGATTTTCATCCGGGCCTCCGTCAGAAGACACAAAAATAACCGGCTTAACACGTCCACAATTATCTTTTATGACATTTCGGAATTGAGTTAATGTGATAAGTTTTTCAAAATCAAATGCATGTGTGGATGCGGTCGATGACGAGTGCTTTCCACTTCTGATGGCAATATAAGATGGTCCAGAGTAGGTTACTGCTTCCGGACGTCCTATTTCACCAATTTGTATTACACATGCAGCATAAACGCTAGGTATCAACTTGTGTCTGGCGGCTATCATCCAATCGTGATCAGGAAGCGAAACGCGGTACTCCATATGCATTAAGACAGGTGCCTGCTTGTTAGCAGCTGCTAAACCTATTGGCATGCTTGCAGCGGGCCTAGAATACTTGCCAGCGTTTCCAACGATCTAATTGTAGCGACACAGAAGTGCTGGTCCAAATGGCTTTTGTGATGATCAGCCTCTGGCCGACTCAATTTAACAGGTACGATAACAACGTGCTTTTTTCCTTCCGACGTTTTACAATTTTTTGGCATTAATCGCAAATATGTCGCGCTTCTAGATATTTGGTAACCGAGATGTAACAATTTTTCGTGAAGGTCGCTTAAGGTTTGACAACTCCGTACAATTTCACTTCGCCGACGTTCGTTGGCAGAAGCACCAAACATGGCTATGTCGACAATTGTTTTGAGTAACTCAGGCTGCTTACATTCAATACGAGGACGGCCTGGAGTATTATGTGTTACATTGGCTGCGTCGACATTATTTGCACTTATTTCTGCTAGTTTCGATTTAAGAGTTAACCTATGCTTTTTGGAGTGAATAGCGTGAAGCTTTTTTCTTCGGAGATGTTTTTTACAAGACCCAATACGTTTTTTGATTTTAGAAATTTCGTTTGATTTTGCACGGAGCAATGCCACATTGTATTCAGCTTTCAGTAAAGAAATTTGATTACGCAGAACGTCCTGCGCTGGGGTATTACGACAAATTGGCGTAGTAAACTCTTCAGAGTCCTTGCTATTTTGAACTACGTCTGCGGTTTCACTCTGGCTGCAGTCGGGTTCAATTGCGGGGGTAGAACTATCGTTCAGTTGAGGCGTTTCTTTATCATTGTTCTGAAATGCATAATACAATAATGCATTACTATTACAAACTTTTAATAAACTAAAATCTGTCATCACCTTTTCATTGGGGTGTTGGAAGTACTGGGCAATATTGGTGATCTTAACTTTTGTTGTTGACTGCTTTAGCTCTTTAATTTTATTTAAAATAATGCTTTCGAAATCAGTTTTGTCTGTACAAGTTTTTTTAGCATCTCTCCAGAAGATGTTTGTACTTTCCTGGCACGCTGCTTTTGTTTTATTTGTATGTCGTGCAACATATGCACGAAATAGCTGCAAGTGAAGATTGGAATTCATTTCACCATAACTTTTTGAACTTAAATCATAGGAAGAGTTTGAATAAAAATTGGAATGGGTTCTACGCGACACGACCTGCAAGTTTTCGGTTATATTTTGAAACTTTTTACATAAATACATATATACATATTTATCGACTACGCTCTCAGTCAGCTGATATGATTGCCATATGCAAAATATTTAATAGAAAGGGAAATGTGGTTATTATTGAGATTAAAGCAAATCACGTGATAATACGAAACACCTCCCCCCCCCCCCCCCCCCCCCCCCCCCCCTACGTGATCGATAGTGATCATTTACCTAACCCCCCCCTCCCCCTAAAGTGGTCACATGATTTATGGACGCCCCCTTACATTAATTTACAAATACGTAGTTACATAATTTAAATAAACAACAATTTACAATTTAACCCCCGAGAAACAACAAACTTCAACTCTCCAAGTCTCGAGATATTTTTGTATCTAATCGTATTCACACAATATGAAAACCGTACTCATAAATAATCAACCTATAATACCTGCAAATATTAGGCGAGAGGAAATTATTTAGCATGCGCATATGTATATTGACTTATGGCAATCTCAGATCAAGTAACCAAAAGCGCAAGGGCGTAGTGATCTAAAATAATTTTACGTTAAACAGTCTTTATGCTGTAGATCGGAAATTATCAACAAATTTTATGATAAACACGAAGTTGCGTTTGAACTCTTACTAAATATCATGCTATCAAATCATAAAATTCGGATTCAACCCAATTAAAATAGGTAAACAGTGACTAGAGAAAGCATAGCAGCACGACAAAATAAAAACATCAAAATGAAAAACACATTTTTAATTGGGAGGTGCAGCCATCCGAGTATTAGCGTTTCCATACCGTTAAATTTATGTAGCCCTCAGTTTGCAGCTTCCATTATTGCCACGTGGCTATAAGATTATTTCAGTTGATCGTCGCTCCTGCCCAAAAAGCATGGGATCACAGCTGAATGCATCCGAGGATGCAGGCGCAAATTTGGAAGTGCGTTTTGCACGACCACTACATGGTGCTGAGGCGGTAGTTACCACAGAAGCACCGTTGCTGCCACAAATAGTAGTTACCGTCGTAACGGCATTAAGCGAATGCAATGACATCTGTTGTGGTGTGCCTGAGACGCTACAAGCTCTATTGGCTGTGCTATTCATTGGTGGGTATTTGATGATTGTTGTAATTGATGGTGTCAGCGTGGCGGTCGAACTATCATTGCTCCCATGTCGTGTCCCGGATTGCTGCTGTAGTTCTGAAACAGAAGGGTATTGCTTTAATTTACAATTGATTCGGTGAGTTTTTTTGCTTGATTGTTTACCATGTGATTGCGTTTGTTGCACCATTGCAGGCTCGTGGAGAACGGCTGTTTTCCGTATCGTCTGCTGAAGTAGCGAGTTCACATCGATCGCTGGCCACGCGATCAGCGAAACACTTCGTCATAAGTAGCTATCCAATGGAGATGTGTCCCGTTTATGACGATGATGTTTGATGTAATGCTTGCAGGGCTTCCTACTAGACGCTGGAACATTGGTTGATTTCGATACAGATTCAGCTGGATTAATTTCGCCAGGAATTTTCAGTTTCCTTCGCGTTGGTGTTTCTGTGGGTGACTTTTGGCTTTGGTGATTACCAGAAGAAAGTGAGAAATATTCTGCGGATTGACTAAGTGATGAACCTATGTCCTCTGTTAATGTGTTGTTGAAACTGCGCAGTGTTACATCTGCATCTTCAGCGTTTGGCGTTGACGCAACTGACGATGCATTTGTCAAAGGCGTCAGGTTACTTGAATGTTCTGCATCGAAATCTGCCGCAGATGTTAAAGCCCTACACGAAGTGTCCCTAGCGGTGTGCATTTGCCCAGTTGTAGCAGTCTCACAGTCATCATCGCCAGCTTCGTCCGCACAGTCGCATTCGCAGCAACAGCAAGTGCTCGAATGGCAGGAGCAGAAGCTTGCACTGCTTCTTCGGCTAGTATGCGTTGAACTTTCTGTGGTAGTCTTTTCTTTTTCTTGTGCGACCTGTTTGCCAATGCTGGCCGCTGTTAATTTGTCATCTGTCTGAGCTTCCTCTTCTGCCTCTTCTCCCGTTGATATTGTGGACCTTCGGCGCAAATAACAGCGGTGACATTCTGCCGACACCACCAGCTCGTGTGGTGCCATTCGTCCCTCCTCGTCGTTATCATCAGCATCCAAGTCATCGATGCTACTGCAACTGGTGGCATCTGCATTTTGGCAGGAACAATTGGAACAATGCGAGCAAGTGCTGCAGCAATCGTCCGCAACACCAGCATCATATAATTTTCGTTGAATTTTAACACATTCGTTATGTGCCGCACCCTGCTTCCTTCTTTCACCGCTAGTAATGCCACAAATATAATCATTGCAGCAAGCCATGTGTTTTGTAATTTTGTCCTGATTTCGTCTGTCGGTTTTAGTTTCGGTCCGAATGTAATGATTAAAAAATTCTGAAAATAAAGGAAAATAAAGGAATATAAATTTAAAATTGTTTGTAACATGCATATTGATATTCTGAATATTTGATCTTTCTAGAATCATATTTGATATCTCTAGAATCATAGGTACGAAAAAATTTAGCACATAAAAACTAAAGAATCGCGATGGAAAACTGTACTTTATTTTTAGGAACGAAATGTGAAAGCCATAATACAAATTTTATTTCAAAATCGTTTAAAAAACTTTCTCGGCTTTATAACTTTTTTTTTTTTATATAATTAGGAGATATACTTACTGTTTATATCTCAGCTACCCCAAAGTGTATGGTGGGCGTTTTTATGTGGCCCGGTGATCA